CGCGCAGGCAGCTGCTTCACAATCTGCTTGTCATCCTTTCTGTCCTGCCAGGCGACCTGCCCTTCCCCTGCCTGGCAGCCTACGGCACCTCGAAGGCAGCCCTCAGCCTGCTCATGGACACCTTCCGCTGCGAGCTCCAGCCCTGGGGCATCAAAGTCAGCATTGTCCTGCCTGGCTACTACAAGACAGGTAAGGTGGTTGGCACCGCTTGCTGCCTGCACCGCAAAGGGCAGGTACCCCAGGGAGGCAGAAGAGACGGTGATGGAGCACTGGCAGGAGCAGCTTGCAGCGCTGGATGCAGCTTCTGAGCATCCCGGGCTACTACCTCCCTTGGGATGGTGGCCATCCTGTGGCCTTTGGGCTCCGGCTGGTGGGAGGCAGGGTCAGGATCAAGCCCGGCCAGCGGATCCTCTGCCACCAGGGCTGTCTGAACCAGCTCGGGCACATGCAGGGCAGCACCATCCCCACTGCAGGCAGGGTCCAAGACCTCTGGTCCAGTCCTGGGCTATGGAGAGCCACCATGGTCCTCCCATCACGCACCAGACCTCTGTCCTTCCCAGGAGGCTGGGAGGGGACTGGTGGCTGGAGGGGGGGAGCCACACAGCTCACGCAGGGACCACGTCCTTGCAGGGACATGCGACCCTGCCTTCTGGAACCTGCAGAAGCAGCAGCTGGTGGCCAGCCTGCCCCAGGAGCTGCTGCAGGCCTACGGCGAGGAGTACGTGGAGGAGATCAACCGCCAGTTCACCCAGTTCATGAAGGTGGCGGCGGAGGACCTCAGCGCAGTGGTGAACAGCATCACGGACGGGCTCCTGGCTGCCAACCCAGCCGTGCGCTACTACCCAGGGCAGGGCCTTGGGCTCATGTATTTCATACACCACTATCTGCCCTATTTTGTCCGAGACTCCTTCTTGAAAGGATTCTTCATCAACCCCAAACTGCCCCGAGCACTGCGGCAAGAGCACCACAACGACAAGAAGAAGGCCTGACGCCGGCCCACACGTGGTTCTCCCGGGATGTCGAGGCACACCAGCCCCCGAGCGCATGGGCAGCCGCTGCCCTCCTGCACCGCAGGAGAACAATCAGCACTAGACGTTAAAAACCAAATTGCTTTCCAAAATCAGGCAGATCTATTTTCTATCATGCGGGAATCAATGTTTTCTAGAGACCTTGTTTTTGTATTTTTTCTAACCATGCATCCTCCAAGGGGGCCACCCCTGCCTGACTCAGCAGCTCTGCACCACAGGCTAGGATGTACCTTGGGCATTTCTCAGCTACCCAACATCTTCCACAGTGCTGTCAGAGCTGCAAGCATTTCTCTCCATCACCTCTTGGCTGGGTCAGGCCCCAGATCCTGTGGCGACTGCCATGCAGGCCCTTGTCTCTCTGCCCTTCATTACACACTCCACATGCTCCTGGCAAGCACAGGGGCCGAGGCCAGGCTGACAGTGCCACAGAGCTCTGCACAAGATGAACTATATGATTGTCACTTTTTAAATAAATCTGTTCTTCATATGCCACCGGGCTCTGGCAGTCTCCTTCCCTGGGGCAGGGCTGCGATGCTGGGTCCCAGCCAGCAGCGCACCGAGCACAGCAGCAGGAGCCTTGCGTAGGGGCAGCAGGTGCCACCAGCAGCCCCAGAAAAGGGGTGAGGCTGCCAGGAGGATCTTTCAACCCCTTACTCCCCCCCACACACCCAAGGCTTCCTTTTGCTTGGCAAGGATGGAAGGGGTGACAGTGCCACACAGTGACAGCCCCATGCAGGAAGGCCAGGCACAGGGGGTCAAGCTTAGCAAAGCCAGCTCCCAAAGTGCATGGCTCACTCCCAGACGGTTGCTCTCACTCCTGTGCACCCAGCACCCAGGCATCACTCCCAGCTTGGGCTGGAGTGCAAATGCCCAGGACCCCAGGGGGTGGCCGGACTCTGCCTTCTGGGGCAGGAGCAAGTGGCCCAAGTCACAAGCCCCACTGGGCTCTGCTCCTGCAAACACCCCATTCCCTAGATAAGGGGGTCCAAGGCTCCTCAGGGGGATGTGGGAGCAGGCACCCAAGTAAGCAGGAAGAGCACAGCACAGCAGGCAGATATTTATTGGTGTAAGGAGGGGATCACGGGATAACAAACACTGCAGGTGACCACAGCACAAGCTGGGACAGAGCCACTCTCCATCAATCCCTCCCAGCAGCACCAAGCACATGTTTCCCACCAGCAAGACCCTTCTGCTAACACACCACCCCAGGGGCATCTCCCAGACCTCGAGTACAGGGACCCAGAGCAGCAAGGAGCAGGGCTGTCACACCATGCCCAGGGCTTGGCTTCCACCCCTAACCACAGACAGGGCCTGGACAGGGTGCGGGACATCTCTGTCCCCCTGGGTGACCAGGTGGAGGGAAGGGCTGCCCTGCCCCAGGGCCAGCTGTGCCCACACCACTGCGCAGCAGTGCCAGCCTGGAGCCCCTGCGCCAGACAGGATGCCTGCCCCAGGGCAGTGCAGGGGTCCAGCACCATACACAGAGCCAAAAGGAGCCCCAGCTCCTGCAAGGTTGTGAGAGCAAGCTCACAGCCATGGGTCTTCACAGGAGGAAGGAGCTCAGCCAGCTTACGGAGCCCTTTCAAGCTGCAGGGCAGGAGGGAGACTGATAAGAACTGCTTTAAGGACAGGGTGAGGCTGCACCAGCACCAATGCTGCTGGGGCGGAGAGGAGCGTGCTCCACAAGCACCATGGCGCTGCCCTCATGTTCCCACAGGCTCCGTCCCAGTCCTGGCCAGGGCTGCTCCATCTCGCTCAGGTCAGGGTTAGCTAGGGGTTGCACAGCAGCATGGGCTATGCTACAAATCACACTCTAACTACATCTCACAGGAACAACACTGACAAGGAGGCTTGCAGAGCACTGAGAGGAGCCCCGGCCATGGCAGACCCAATGCGCTCCTCTGCAGCACTGGGAACCCCTTGGAGGCAGCAACCCCCCGGCTGGTGCTTGCTCTATAAGCACAAGCACATACAGCAGATTAGTACAGGAACACGGGGACTATGAGATACACAGCAGGAGGTGTCCCTCCTGCTACACAGGGACAAGCCTGTGCCACTGGTCCCTCCGGACCCCTCACAGCACACACAACTCAAACTTCAGCTTGTGAATAATTTAACTAGCAACTGTACAGTTTCCTCATCTGAGCCAGTTCCACAGATGGGACGCCCCTGGAGTCTGGGCAACGGAAAACTCAGGGAATTAGACAGGGGTCCCTCGAGGCTCCAGGGGCAGGAGGGTCGGACAGGAGCAGAGCAGGGTTAGAAGATGGGAATGTAGTTGTCGATCTTGGTCCTGTGCCGCTGGGCGATGCACTCCGCGATCCACACAATGTTGCGGCACTCCTGCTCCTTCAGCTTCACAAAGGCGTAGAAGACTCCAAAGTGGAATTGGTTGAGGAAGGCCAGCTTGTTCAGCTTCACCTGGGGAAAGCACAGAGGATGACATGTCACTTGTCCACCTCAGACAGGAGAAGCAGGTCAAAGCACGCGTGGAGCAGCTTGGGAGGTTCCATGACTTCCCCAGCAGGCTGGAGGGCTCAGCTCTGCACCTCTCTAGGTCCTCAGAGCAGCTCTAACCTGCAGCACATGGCTCAGGACAGGCTCTGACATTTGAAGGACGAAATATTTATACCCTCATACTGTGAAAATCCTCCTAATCCCACTCTGGTTTTGCTATTGATGGACCAAATGTTCACCAGCAGCCCCAAACTTGCCTTCCACACTGCTCTAAACCGGGTGAGAACATGCACCGAGCACCATCCTGGGCCCCTATTCCATCACTGGGGCAGAGGGCTAGCATCCTTTTCCCCTCCCCAAAAATCTGTTCATCCACAGCACTGCTGAGAGGGCAGCAGACAAGCTCACTGCTCCCCTGAGCTTTGCAAATGGCACAGGTAGGTATGGCCATGAAGTCTCGGGGCTCACTTACCTCATGCTCAAAGAACCTGTCTTCAAGGGTCTTGTCTCCAGGGTTGCTGCCAGCCCCTTCAAACAGCAGCTTGTACTCCTGCATAAAGACATTACAAGAGGATATACCCAAACCCCAAAGCTCTCCAAGTTCAGCAGCATTTGGGGCCCCGTATGTCAAATGGACACCCCAGCCACCATGTCAGCTCAGCAGAGGACACAGAGAAGCCAAGAGTCTGCCCTGTGCACTCATGAACATTGGCAACAGGATGCTGCTGAAGCTTCACTGCACACACCCCAGCAGAAGGCAATCCCCAGAAGAGCAGAGAAAGCCTTCATTTAATCTGTGAGCTTGTCCAGCCAGAGATCCTACCCCTGCTCTGAAATGTGCAGTTCTCAAAGCCGTATCGTCATTTTGAGTCTGCAGGGAGGATGCACTGGGTACAAACCCCTCCATGTACAGACCTGAGTGTTTGGGCCCTGCGCCCACAAACACTGGCACACATCCTGGCTGCTTCAGCAAAGGATACTGAGCTCTCTGCCTCCAAACAGGCCCCCAGGCACTCGCAAGAGCAGCTTAAAGAACCCAGACACATCCAAGCGTGTCCTCCTACGTCAGTGTCTTCCCTGCGACTGAACCAGAGCTCAGAGCTGACCCACTAGGGCTGGAGATGGGGCACACCACTTCTTGCTGAAGACACATTTCCTCCCAGCCAGCCAAAGACAGACTGTCATTGCTGCCACACCAATACCTCCAGGGTTTGGTGACAAGGGCAGCCCCCACACCCTGGGATGGGGCGCACAGGGCACGCCTGGTCTCCCTATCACCACTGCAATGACCGTCACAACTAACAAGGCAATGGCATCCCAGGCAAGCCAGCTCCCTCTTGGCCAAGCAGAGGACAGGACCAACAGCAGCAGCAGATAGGCACTCCCCTCCCCAGGCTGTCAATCCACAAGTTCCCCCAGATCCCTGAGAAGCTCTGATCCAGAGCAGGTCCTTGGCACCAGCCCCCACAGCCCTCACCCCAAAGGACTCACAGGGTAGTAGTCAGCAACACTTTTTACTTGTTCGTAGTCATCTGCTCTGGCCAGCTGAGCCAGTCCCTCAGGGTAGAGCTTGCCACAGTGCGGGAACAGCTTTGCTCGGTCCTCCTTGGACAGCTCAGTACCAAATGAGTTAATGGTGATAATGAAGGCCCTCCGGTCAGCTTCAAACTGTGGGAAAAGAGCAGTTCACCTTGGGATGCAGCACCTTTGCCAGAGGCCAGCAGATAGCAACACTGCTCTGAACAGAGCCACATCCAAGGGCAGCAGGAGCAAGCCTGGCTCACTGCCTGGGACACGCGCAGCCCTTCGGTGCTGAGCCAGGACAGGCTGCGTGTACAGGCTCCTCAGTATGCCCGGTAGCTGATGCTTGGGGATCGGCAAGGCGAGGAAATCCCCACTCCAGGCACAAGCCAAATCACTGAGCAGGACCCTGCCCAGGCCAAGGAGTCTCTCTCACCAACTGCCCCTGAGCCCTGCATAACCCACAGCTAGCCTTGGCATGGAGACTGGAGTGCACTGAACAGCTCTAGATGTTCTCCTGCTCATTATCCATGTGAGACAATAAAGACGTTGCCACAAAGACAACCTGGCAAGATTGGGCTGGGCAACCAAACCTGTCCAAAGTCACATGCAGGCAGTGTTTTCCCAGGTCTCCCAGTGAGCTGGCAGAGCGTGCACAGGGATGCTGATGAATATCTTCAGCATCCTTAATGCCAGCAGACAGGCTGGGCCTGAGCACAGAGCAATGAACATCACGGCAATATTGTCCAGCTACAGGGGCTTCCAGACCTACCTCCAGGATCGGACACATGGCATCTGCCGTGGTACCTCCCAGCACCTTGCAGAATTTGTAGAAAGATTCCAGATAAGCCTGGAAGAGAGAGGGCAGATGAGCACTGGTCCACACAGCAGCACCTACTGCCCCACAGGGCTATTCAGTAGGGGACAAAGAGCAAGCAGGGATGCTCCCAGACACTTTAACACACAGCACAGGCATTCACACCCCAGTTGAACTTGGATGTCAAGCACACATGAGGGAGCTGGAGACATGAAGGGCTGTGGTTGGGTTTGTTCAAGTGACTGCATGAGCCTACTGCAGACAACGTCCCCAGGCAACATGGTTAAAGTCTATTTTGCTCCTTGGAGTCATCTAACTCCAAAGCGTTTACCAAAGTCTCACATGGTTTCCTGACCCTGCTCTAGCCTCCACAAACATGCCAAGCCACACAACTATAGCTGCAAGACCTACGTTCAGAAAGTACCGCTGCGTAAGCAGAGTCAAGAGATGAGACAGGACATCTGTGAAGGAAACGAGCCATTCTCTGTAATTCTCTTTTCATACTGCAGCCACTTGGTCTCCATCCTAACTGGAGCACTGCAGAAAACATACAAGGCTAGACACAGCTACGCTGCCTCCAGGAAACGTAATCCTTTGTCGAGATGTGCTGTAATCCAGATGGAAGATGACTGTATCTCCCAGGGGGAGCCCATGAAGGCAGTGCATGGTTAAAAGTGCTGTTCAGCAGAAACTTTCTCAGAAGAAGCCATCATGTGATAAAATACCTCCCTGGACAGAGAACTGCAACCAGAATTATCTGAAGGAGAGTGAATAAAATTATGTTGGGACATCACAAATCTCTGCTCTGTCACAACTACTCCAGGACTGAACATGGACCAAGAGCACACATGTTGGACACTCTGGGTCTCCAGCAAGAGAGCACCTGGATTACTGTGTTCTGTCAATATTTGTTACCACACAGTGCAGGAGGACACTGCTGGATGAGCATCACACATCAAAGAAATATCATCTCCAGCACTCGCCACTGCTCTCACCGCGGGAGAGCACAGAGCACCAGTCTGCAGAGTTACCACAGGAACATGGACATGGATAATGGACTTCGCTTGAGGCTGACAGAAGAGGGAACCCAGATAAGAGGTTCAGTCACTGCCTCTGCCATTCTCGGAGTTTACGCACAAACTTAAAGCTTTAGAAGCAAATAGAGGTGAACTCAAACATCAGTGAATGAAGATCCAGTATCAGACACCACGGAAGGACAGACTGTGAAACAGCCGCACCGGCCACCCTCCCCTGCAGACCCCTTCACAGATGACAGCAATTTACAGAAACTCTCCAGTGTCCCAAAACCCCTGCCCCAGGAATGGTAGTTGCTTTGCATTTCATAATCCTTAATAGACTTTTACTTCCATGAACCCACTCGTTTGCCTCCTGCTAGCCTCATCTGTCTGCCACCTCCAGTCTGACAGGGGATCTGGCACCTGTCCATCCCTGCTGACCTGTCCAACGCTGTCTGCGGTTACTACCACATTCCAGGTAGGGAATCCCAACTGGTTTTGTACTTTCCCACACAGAGTCATCGTACCCAAACTTTTAAACGTGTCCTCCTTACCAACTTCTCTTGTTCTGTTGTTCATATTCAGAGATGAGAGGAAGGAGACAATGCTCAGAACAAACGCACTACAGACGTGCACAGCAGCAGTGATATTTCTGCAATTCTCTTCTACTGTGAGGAGCAGATTGCCTTGGAGGGAGCCACCGTGCTTAGGTCAATCATAACCCAAGATTTAATTGAGTAGTAGAAAGGAATAAGGAGACTCTCGCTGTACAAAGCAAAGTTAGGATTACCTCCTTGCCTCTCCCATACATCACTCCACATTTATCCACAGTGATTTCCCTGCTATATTTTATTGTCTAGTCACAAAACTCCTTCAGCTGGTTCCTACAAGAAGGTCGCCAGCAAAGGCCAACGGTCAGCCAGTTTCACGTCAACATGTCCATTAAAGATGTGGAAAATTGAAGATAATAAGATAACAGTGCCAGCATGCCTCCACTGCAGGACTCCACTGCTGACCGCCCCTCTATGCTAAGAGCCAACCGCTTACTTTTAACTTCTGCTCCTCATCTTAACCACACTTCCACCAGAGAACCTTCTCACTTATCATTGCTAACATGAAACCTTTGTAACTGCTTTCCTCCTGTGAATCCTCTTCAAACCTTCTGTCTACATGCTCGCAGATTTCTTCAACAAGCCTCCATAAAGTCTGGGCAGTAGCACTTCCCCTTCCCATGCCAACTCCTCCTGGACACAGGCGCCCGCCTGCTCTGTTCCTCAAAGCAGCTCTGCACAGATTTTATTTCCCTCATTTGCCTATGAAGACCATTTGCATTCTTATACATTTTTCCAGTCCCTGAGGAGAGAGGTGGCTTTGAGGGAGAGTCTGTAAGCAGCAGTTACCTTTTCCACCCTTGCATCCCCATGATTTGTTACTGACAAAGCCCTCGCACTCCCTGGATGCTGCTCTTTAGCAAGAGCCGGTCCCAGCACACACCAAGGGATAGCAGGGATCTACGCTTCAATTTGGTGGTAGGATAAGCAGAATGCAAAGCAGCATCAAGCCTCACAAAGGAGATGGGATAGGATGTGGCAGCTGGGACCCAGGGATCCACCCTCCCTCCCTGTTTGCCCTGCGCTCACCCCACTCCCTGCCTTCTCCCCCCTCCCTTGTCTCAACACAGGGGTCTGCACTCTGCAAGGGCACTGTGCATACGTGCATACCTCCCCCAGTTACAGCAAAAGACCAGCACATGCCAGGGGCCACGTGCAGCTGGGCATAACTGCTGGCATGCAGCTCCTTCTCCCCTCCCTTTGCCTTCTTCCCTTCACGCCTGACCTGTTCTCTGCCTCTCCAAACAGGTCACGGCTTCCTTGGGAAGCAGAGGTCACCCTGACTACAGGCTGGCTGCGACCAGCCAAAACAGGGTGGGCAGATACAATCTGCATCCCACCCTTAATCCTGAGAGTTGAGATGGAGCGATAGGCACAGCCTGGGCATAAACACATGCTTTGACACCGCTGGCTAAAACCAGATCAGGCCTGCAGAGGAGACGACAGCTCCCTGTGCAGGCTCAGGACAAGGAGACCCTTAGCCCCCCCACATCCCTGTGCCAATCAATACTCTCCTCAGTTTGCAGGATTCCTCCACCCTGGCTGCACCTTTTACACTGCTCTACCAAGAGCATCTAACTCCAACTGCAGCCACTGAAGGCTTGAGCAGACTGCTGGAGGCTCTTCTGAAAGAGCTGAACACAGAGAACCAAGCCCATGGAAGTCCTCCAATCAAGTTTAAGATCAAGTCACTTTAGCCCTTTGAGTGCAGCTAACCCCACACCTGAACTCACGTGGTTAAGGGGCAGCATTCTCTTGCCTGCCTAGGGCCCAAGAAATGTTATTCAAAGACAGAACTTCTACAAAATCTCTTGCACAGACTCCTGAGAGCCTGACAGCTCCGAAGACAACCCCACTCTGCCTAGATCTGGTGTCCTGACTCTGCAGTACTGGCTGATCGGGTGCCAGGCCCCTCCAAGAGCACTATCTTTACTTTCCAGCCGATGGAATTAGTTCTTGGTCACGTTCACTCCAGGGAAGAAAACAGAAAGAAAGGAAACTTATTTTTAAGTCTAAGAGGAAAATGCACTCTCCCCTTTGGTTGAAGAAAGCCATCCAAAGTTGGAGCTCCTTACCCAAGACAGAGGTGTAGTCATGGTAGGAATAAATACAGAAGTTAACATCTCTTTTCCTTCTCAGAGACTCATTTACCTTATAGAGTGTGTTCCGAATTATTTCGATGTTCATTTCATCCAGGTCCTGTTCAGATATGCAGTCTTGGAAGAAAGCAGCTGAAACAGAGCCACAGACAGAGTTAGCGCTGTCCTAACCAGACCTATGCCCAGCATTTTCCAGAGTCCTCAACAATACCAGGCAGAAGCACACCCTATATTGAGCTTGTCCCTCCTAGGCCTGGCCCTTATCTTCAGCAGCCACCAAATTGCTGTTACTCAAAACCTCAGGCTCCACCATGGTTCCCCAGGCCACAATAATTTTGGGGGCTCTCACATCAGCCTATTCTCAGCAAAAATTCTGAGCTCTAGCCCCCGGCATCAGTGCCAGAGCACCCTATATTTAAAAATAAGCAAAGCCCAAACTGTTCCCAGATGCAGACACTGAGAGGTGACGACAGCTTCTGAACTGCCTGCTACAGCACGGCAGCAGTGCTTAAGCACCTGTGAGACAGCAGCTAGCGAGTCCTGAGGAAGCTGGCGCTGCTCTTCTCCCTCATCCTTCAGGGTCTTGGAGGATTAAGGAGGCGTGAGGATGCCACAGCTCTTACAGCCTGTGACACTCTATGGTTGGAGTCAGGAGCCATTTCCCCTGGCCAGGTCTATCTGTCCGGTTTTCCACTTCTTCCAAGGCCTTTTATTTCTCTATCAGGAGGTAAGCAACAGGGGACAGGATGAACTAGTGTTTGGTAGGAAGCTCAGCCTTACGTACTTTGCAGTATCTCCGGGAGGGAGTTTGAGAATTTGTTGCCACCTGAAGAACACAGATAGGTTTCAGACCTAACATATGGTACCACAAGCTGCAGATCAGGCTAAGTCTTGTACATCAAGGGCAACATAAGACTGTCACACCACTTGCTTGTTAACAAGAGCCCAGTAAAACCCATTGACAGGACTTTTATGACTTCTTCACCTCTCGCTCAGCAACCAACTTTGCTGAATTTGCTACATAGAGAAATACGATCTTAGCTTACACAGTCCCGCTGAGGGTAAAGCACACTACACTCACTCTGAGAACTGACCAGTGCTCTGCTTTGTGCGACAAAACAGCTACCATGCAGGTTCACACCTCTGGCTGCACCACTTTCACAGCTTGAGGTCCCTGGCACGGAGAGCAGCCACATTGTGGGTCTAGAGAGTCCTGAACAGGGGTTAACCCCCACAGAGGTTTCTTCACAACAGCATCAGAGACCAATGCCACGTAGCTGGAGGAGCACTGCTCCCTACGGTTGGCAAAAATGAAAACAGAGTGTGCCAGGACTGGTTTCCACTGCAGGACTCACTGGCTAGCCTAGATAGCTAAGCAGTGGCTACTTCAGAGCAGCAGAGGAATGAGAACACAGCTATTTCAGTTCTTGGCCCTCCAATATCCCAAATTAGGCTAACGGCAAGTCTTATTTTGCCCTGCTAACCTATGAAATCCATTTGGGGTTAGGCATTCCCACCAAGCCACGTAGCTACTCAAGTTCTTTTAGGAGATAGAGCTGCTGTTTCTTTGCGTGTGGTCACTGGAAGGAGTGCAAGTTAAACAACTGGAGCCTGCATGCCTGCTTGTTTAGGCAACACAGCTACTCCCCATGTTCTCCAACTGAAGAAATGCCACACTAGATGGTACACAGCCTCAAGGGCATGCCCAGGGCAAAGGTCTGAGGAGCTCAGCCTAGCCAGGGCAGAAGCAGGCAAAGCTCATTCACGTACAAGAGCACAATTGCAAGAGGCAAAGACCCCCAACTGGCAGCCTCATACTCCAGAAGCACCTCACCAGTTTAACAGGGCATTTTCACTCCATACACAGCTGGAGGTTTCAAGGTCTCCAAGAGCTAGTATATTTGAAATACTTGGTTCTATCTTATTCCCAAAATGGGAAGGTCCCATTTCACTTACTTGTGAGGAGGATTTTCTTCCCACACATCATCCATACAGTAGGCTCAACTCAGCTGCACGCAGAGCCTCAGTTCTCTCCTGTGTTGTTGCCTTACCTTGCAACACCGATCTCAAGACATGTTCTCCCTCCTTTGCTGGGTTCTATCTGACAACTCCTTTTTCCATGACAACTACTTCACTTGCATCGTGATTACACAGAGCATTTGCAAAAGCACTTTTGGTTCCAAAACCAACTATTTCTATCAACAACAAAATGATGTCTTAAGAGAGTTTTGTTCTTTCTAGCAACCCCAAAAGAATGATTAATCGCTGACTCAGGCATACCTCATTACTTTTTTGCCCACAGATGCTAACCTAGAAAGTCTCATGTGACTACCTCTCCTACTACTGCAAAAAGACTGCCATATTTTCTCCAGAACCACTTCCTACACCTTTTATCTTTAAAGAACATATCTGTCTGTTCATAAGACACTTGGTGTCATGTGCCTCCTGATCAAGGCTTGTAGCCCTGAGACAGTATCACCCAGTGCAGGATCCTGCTGTACAAGGAGCTTAAAAAGGCTTTTGGAGATTTATTTTTTTCCCCTGTTGTTGGTTGGGTTTTTTTGGTATGTGAAGAGCTTTCCTTGACCTAGAGCTAATTTTATCAGTCTCAAAACAAGACTGGGCATGTGCAGATCTCTATAATTATCTTAAAAAAATGTCTACAAGAAACTGCTTGATGGTCCAACTAAAAGCACTGGAAATTAAGTGACTCGTTCCAGCAGAGGACCTGATAGCCCTTCACTAAGGAAGCATATGTGCCACGCATCCCACGACAATCACTAAAGAGATCACATTGTCTAAGACCTCTCAAACTTTCTCCTTCCTCCCTAGTTTCAGGTCACAATTCCTAGAAGAGCTGGTAAATGGACATATCTAGCAGATCAGATCTAACTACACCTGCACTGCCACGACAGCTCAAGGCCCGGCTCACACAAACCAAATTTCCCAGTAATTTGCACTAGCAGTGTGCTGGTTTGGACATTTGTTGAAACATACAGAAAGCTAGCTTGTCCTCCAGAGGACAAACTGACAAAGGACAGGCCTAAACCTGAACTCACGCCCAGCCACCATAGACAGTATGGCCACAGCTGTGCATTACCCATTGCTTTGTCTTCCTGGAGTACAACTTTGTAGGACGCAGTTAGACTGGGGGAGAACGGGCCATACAGCTGAGAGGTATTTTGAAAGGTTCCGCTCACCCAGGGGAGTGTCCACCAGGATTGCATTGTAGAGCTCTGCAGGCGTCTGAGCAATGTTCACAGCTTCCATCTGCTCAAAACTTCCCAGAGGATGGCACTTGGGCACCAGTTCGGAGATTGAGCGCTGGTGCAGGGTCCCAGTGATCAGCAGAATGACGTTGTCGATCATGTAGCTGTACCTGGAGGAACGCAAGGGGAAACCTGTCACAATACAAATAATACAAAAACCAGCACCTAGCACCAGACAGGCATATACCTTCCGTCCCTGGGAACATGTCCAGAAAGATGCATCCTTCCCACAAAGAACGAGTAAAGTTACTTCCTTAACATCTCCTTATTGTGCCAGCCTAGGAAAAGGGAGTCAAGCATAGTCCCAGGCTGTGATTTATGCTACAGCTCAACCACACCATGCAGGCATCTCCTACCTACCACTGAAAAGTATTAAATTGGAAGGGACTTCTGGAGATCTCCGGCCCAATGTCCTGCCCCAGGCATGGCCAGCTCAGGCTGCTGAGGGCTTTGTCCAGCTGAATTATGAATTATTTGCAAGGATGTGTATCTCACAGCCTGCCTGGGGCTCTGCTGCAGTGTCTGACCACACTCACAGCAAAGCCTTTTCCTAACAGCTATTCAGAATTTCCCTCATGGCCCTTTGCCTCCTGTCTCTCATCCTAACCCCGCACACCTCCGAGAGGGGCCTGGCTCCAGCCTCCCCACACCCTCCCTCAAGGTAGCTGAGAACACTTCTCCTCCCAGCATTCCCACTGCTCTCCTCACATGGCCGTACTCTGTAGAGAGCACGTGCAAAAGCATGAGTAGTAGGACGCCAGCAAAGGGGAATCTGCAGATAGCCTGGCTCGAGCTCAGCTTCACTGCCAGCACCACTGCTCCATCTTGGCAAGACTATGGAGAACGCGTCACGTTTCTGCAGCCCCTCTCCCTTTCAAAAACAACAGGGTTGGCAGCTTTGGCATGACCTTCATTCACAGCCTCACACAACTACACACAAGCTTTTTCACACCTCTGCCATCAAAAGCTACACGCTCTTTTGCATTAGCCCATATTATGACATCTCTAATCAAGTTCTCCGCTTACATGATACAGGATCAGCAGATTCAGCCTCTGACACTACAGTAATGGGACATTCAAGCTGGAACCATGGCACTTGACACAAGTTCCACCAGCACAAGCCCTGCCTGGCCCTTTTCCCCAATATGCCCATGTCTCTCATGCACTGAGGCACCCAGAACTGGGCACAGTACTGCAGGCAAGGCCTCACCAGTGCTGAGTAGAGGGGGAGGATCACTTCCCAGTCCTCCCAGTCCAGCCAGAGAAGGGAGACGCAGTTGGCCTGAAGACTGGGAATATGAGAAAGGTTGGTGGCCTTCTTCAAATAAAAGGTCCAAGCAAGGGATCAAGGCATCATGTAAATATGATGTAAATATGAGCATATGAGTAAATATCATGTAAATATGAGCTGAGAGGAAAAGCATGCCCAGCACGAACGGGAGTGGTGCTGTAAGCACCTTCACCATGAGCTGAGCCACAAGCCAACCAAGCTGAGAAACTGAAAAGCATCAAGAGAGATGAGGGTTTTTCTCAGTCGGCAATGATGCCTTTGCAAATGTCCCTCAGCAGCATATGGAAGGGGCACCAATGCTGGAAGAGCAGGATATTTGGGATTTTACAGTCCCTTGCTCTCACTGCTAGAGCTCTTGCTCCAAAAAAGTTACATGATGGAAAAGACCTGAAGAAGGTCCTCCTTGGTAGGAGCTGCGCCAAAACAAATGGGATCAGGCCTGAACTAGAACAGCAGAAGGAGCTGTGCACATCTGGAGTTGGAGATCTGTGGAGGTTCAGGCTTCCCACGTGTGCTTGGGTACTGGAGAAAGGCCAGCACATGGGGACTGGGGCAAGGGCAGGAACAGCAAGGATCTGCTCACATTTGTCAGGCATTAGGATGCTGCTGGCCTTTGTATTTCTGAGCTAACAAGAAGGACGTAGTGCAGCCCTGTCTCCCTTTGAACCACATCAAAGACAAGTAAGTAGAGCCAGTTGAAGGCAGATTTCAGTTGTTTTTATTAGATGGGCTTACCGCCTCTCAAATATGCTCAAAGGGCACGTCCATGAACAAATCCCCACCTTAGTTCCTCAAGCACGTGCTGCTTTGCTTTTTTTTCTCCACGCTGCAGGGCCGGTAACGCACCTCCCAGCCCCACTATTTTTGCAGAGAGCCTTTCTGTGTTTGCAGCCTACCTTTCCAGGGACGTTCAATCTAGAACCATGGCAATCAGAACAAGCTTCATGTACTAAGAAACCTCCTTTTGCCCTTTAATCTGCAAGATCGTTATCCTCCCTTCTGTTTGTGCAACTCTCACCACGGAGATGATTGCAATCTCCAGGACAGCAAGAAGGGCCTGTTTATGAGAACGGAGGGCAAGTCCCTCGCTGTAAGCTGCTGGTTCCTGGTAAATACAAGCATCTGCACCCTCACACAGATGCATCTCTGTGAGGTGTACCAGACCAAGGATACAGCAGATCATTTCCCAGCTCCACCACCTGCCCTCAAACATGCAAGTCTGCTCAGTGTAACACAGCACCTTTCAGGAAAGACCATACTCAGGACTACTCTCACACAGGATGAGACCAAGCTTGTTTCTTCAACGTGGCCTAAAGGGAAGGAACAGGCAAGGAAATATGGTCACTGCACAGTATGCTAGCACACTTCTTTCCTATTCCCAGCTTACTGCGGATCTTGCTCTCTCTAAGATATTTGTGACTTGGAAGGAGCAAAGTCAACCACACGAGGAAGTGAGGGAAAGTGCCCGGAGCCCTTTCTGTTCACAGGTCTTCAGAGCGGCTTAGCTCCTGGCTTACAGGAGTCATGCTGAGCTCATCCATGCACACCCAGCCCAGCTCAGCATGAAAGCCACAGACAGGTTTGGGGAGAGCAGCCCAAATCTGACCCTCTTCACATGTGACAAGATCCTGCTTTCACACTGATGGTCCCTGGAAAGACAACCCTGCTGGCTTTCTCTGCTGGCATACAAAGCATGGCTCTCCCTGTTTCATTTAAAGCCCTTAACTCGCTTGTTTCCCCATGCTTCAGGGCAGTCTGGGGAAATGCACAGTCTATACATCAAATGCTAAGGTCTCTACAGCAACTTTTTGAAAAGAATACTTTACCTATCGAGACTACTGACTGTCAGAGAAGGATTCACCCCTGCATGAGGAGGCATTACCACATGCAAGACAGAGGGGAAATTTCTCATTCAAATTTCCACTGCAACAGCATTTCAAACCTTTACAATGACAAGAGCGCTGCAGCAGAACAAAGGTCTTCTCGTGCCTGCCGAGGCCAGGCAGACACCAGCACTGCTACCTAATCCTTCTTGATAGTTCCAATTTCCTTCAAGCAAATCCAGACCCCACTTATTCACATTCAATTTCTGCTTCATCCCAGTAAAAACAGTTACGGCTTAGTCAATCATGACTACAAGGCAAGTCTTCTATTGCCAGGGCAGCTGGAAAAGCCTCTTTTCATCTGTGGAAGGGGCAACACTTGCTTTCCTGTGCCAGGTCCTGACAAGAACGCATCTGCCTCCATTAGCACAGCTGAACTAAGACCACAGCAGAGGTCCTGGCTGCACTGGCATTTCCTCCCAGACCCAAAGGATTATATTTATTACAGTGGCAGCAGCTTTCCTAGGAACCTCCAACTACTTGTTTAATAAACCGGCTTTTGTCATTCTTCTCCCCATCTCCTAACTAGGTTCTTCGCAGCTTCAAATGTTTCAGCTTTCATGGTTAATGCATGCTCAGACCTCCCAAGAGCATTTTAATCTTCACTAGCTCTCAGTGCCACTAATAAGAGGAGCAGACTATGGGACACACCAGAAAACAGGAGCAGTCAGTCACTTGCAACACCACGAAGTCTTACTGCAGCCTGCTTGGCATGGAACAGAGGTTGGGATGGAGGATGGTCTGGTGGGAGACTGGAGACAGACAGAAGGACTGCCAAGCTCCTCGGTGAGGACAAGCCTCCACAGTAGCTCACTGGGAACACTCAGTAGGAGTTCAGAGGAGAAAGCACTATGTGGAGGCTCTACAAAAGCCCCAGCCAGTGACACAGGGTGGCAGGGATTTAATTAAGTGGTAAAAGGGCATCTGTTCTCAAGCCCCAACCTGGCCTCCACAGAGACCATAGTAATACTCTTTTGGGCAAGAACGTGTTTTACACTCGTACTTTGAGCTGTTATCTGCCCTCTCAGGGAGATGGACACAAAAAGAGTGGATGTTCAGCCAGGGTTTCACGTGCACAGTTACGCCCTGCCTCGCTCTTCCTGTTACCCACTGAATTGAGGTGTGGTATATTCCAGAAATTCACGTTCACAGAAATACAATTTTAGTTGATACTCAGAAGCATCATAATGTCTCACGGAGGAGTAGAATTTCTTATTAAAGGACAGGAAAGAGTCAACAAGCATAGAAAGACCATCCACAGCAGGACTGAGATCTTGGCTTACAACTTCCGACAGTCCGAGAAAACCAGGGACAGTATCCTCACTCCTCCAGCATCACCCAGTTTCAGCACAATATACACTGGGCAACACTCACACAAGGAGAACGAAGTCAGGCTAGGATATGTCTAGGGAAGCTGGGGGTGAACATTCCATCCAGCAGCAGCAGGTCAGAGAGATCATTCTCACTGCTGGTTTTGGGAGGTACAGTCTCAGGCAGAGCAGAGACCTCTCCAAGAAAACAGAGGAGAGCCAGGCCCCAGAAATTCACTTCTGCGACAGTCACCCACGGATAGCTATCAAGCAGAATCAAGGAGGAGCACAGGCACGCAGAAGCCATGTGCAAGTACTTTGACAATGTATGTTTTCCTTCTTTTGGTGTTACTTAAGTACAGCCACAGATACACCAGACACGCAAGAAAGATTGCAATGGCTCGCTGAATACTGGGAAAGGTATTTCAGCAGGGGAGCACATAAAATGCATGAAAGCTTGTCACGTGAGGCATTTACATCTCAGCCTGAAGGCACTCGGGCATACCCCTGCAAGGCAGCAACCCCAAGACAGTTGGGCTTCTCCCTCCCCCACTTCCTAATCTAACCTAATCATAAAGAGTCATTGTCCTACAGCAGATAGGTTGGTTTTTTTATTGCTTTCTGCT